CTCTCGATGTCTGTCTGGTTGTGTGCCATGAAATCAGAAGCAAGCCCAACATGGCACCTGGCACTACGCTCTAGAAGTTCTAGTCCCTGATGAGTCCCTGTAAACACCTAAACATTTTGAATAACAAGGGTTCTTTGTTAGGGCTGTTACAAACTACAAGTGCATATATACTAGACACATTTACTTTGTTACATTTAAAGATCAATAGCCAGTTGTGAGCCAGCATGTTCATTGCAGTATATTCCTAACAATAAGTTGATGCTTTTCTGGCTTGCTAAAGAGGAAGAAATCTAGTTTCTATTTTCAATTTAAATCAATTCTGGAAAAGTATCATTAGAATATGGGATCCTTTCTGTGGAGTGGAAGACACATATGGGGAAAGAAGTGGGCCAAAGAGGAAGAAAAGAGAACTGCAAAAAGAAAAAAAAATCTTGCAGTGTTAATTTCAAATGTATTAGGTGGTTTCCCTTTGCTTAATTTACACATATTGTGGTCTCTGCTTGTATGTGAGGTTCTTTTTATCCTATAATAGTATCAGGCTCTTGTTGATTGACATGCTGCTGAGGGTATCTAATGAACTGGACAATGGCAGTGAACTGACGTGATGTGCTCTAAATGTGAATATCTGGTGGAAATTATTTAACAAATTTAATTGAAAGGTGAAATCATTATCAACTTAAAAAAACTTGGAATGTGAAAGGGCTATGGGAATTCTTAAGTGTTTTGAGAAAAAGGTTTTCAAGAGTCTTCAGGTCTACAAAGCACTCCAGAACTTAAAGGAAGGAAGCGGGAGGACAGTTCAAGTGGAAACAAAGAAAAAGTCTGAAGTTCAAAGCACTGCTAAAAAACAAAATTCCTATAAATGTTAGATGGTTGGCTCCATGGTTAAACGAAGCAGACTCATTTTTTCAATGAAAGTCAGAGGCATGTTTCAGACCTTAACATGGAACTGTCACAATTATGCTTTTAAAATTGTAAATGACCATTGAAGTAAAAGTAATCTGAACCTGATCAAGACAGATTTTGACCAAAATTTTGATTCAGTCAATCCAGCAGGCAATATAGAACTTTAATATGCCACAGTCAATTCAAGAAGAGAATGCTTATTTACAGTGGTGTGGGAGCATTTTTAAAAGTGGGGGGAAGGGCAAGCCCTCTTGCCTCTGTCCACTTCACTCCCAGATGAGGCTGGGAGCAAAGCCCCACCATGCAAGGCCAGCAGCAGGCACACTGGGCAACAGAGGCCCCAGTGTATGGGGTTCAAACCAGGATCCCAGCACATGGGGCCAGCAAGAGAGTCCCTGGTGTGCAGGCCGGCAGCCAGGAACCTTGTGTGCAAGCCTGGAAGCAGAACCCCAAGTGCCTGAAACCAGTAGCAGGGACTCCCCCTACACCCTTAGTTCCTGCATATGCTTATTGAGCCAAATATCTTTCATGCAAATCAAAATAATGAGGGAAGAGGTATATATAGCTGGGGTAACAGGTTAGGTTACATTAATATTTCAACTCTGGAGATTAGGGTTCAAACCCTGACTAAGACACTGGTTAGCAGTGGATGTGGTGGTCTCTTGTATTCTCATTTCTTTATGGCATACAATCTTTCTGCACCATTTGGCATAGTCATTAGTGAAGAATAATGGAATTTACAAATTTTAGTTCCTGGTCCTGCAAACATTTATGAATTTACTGTGATCACTGAGTCTGACCATCCATAATACATAGTCTTTAGAACTTCCCTAAGTAATTCTAGTTTGTACTAGATCATATCTTTTTTTTTTCTGAAAAAAATCTTGACTTAAAAATTGGCAGGGATGGAGAATGCATCACAACATTTACTAACTGATTAACTATCTTAACTGTTTTTTAAAAATATATGCTTTAGTTCCAATCTGAATATGCTTAATTTTAAGTACATGAGCAGTCCCTTTAACATGGGTGTAACAGTTTGTGTGCTTAATGTAGGTTTGTAGCCTTGGAACTTAAGTCTTCCTTTTTTGCCAGAAAATTTGAGAGAAATATTGTGATTTTCTAAATTATATTTATTGTTCAAATTTATTGGATTAATCATAGAAATGTTTTTTAATTTTTGAAGAGTAAATATAATACAGGAATCAAATAGAGCATATTTTGTGTTTACATTTATAAAACCTTTGTGAAATATTTCCATTTCTTATAAACCCCATTTCTTGGGGTTGGGGAAATCACAAACACACACTTACTCCACCAGATTTATGAATCATGGAATGTGAACCAGTTTTTGGACTGGCCAACATCTCTGTAGTCAGCTGAACCAAAGTCTGGGATCATACCTGAAATTTCAGGAATACAGCATTTGGATCTGCATTCTGATTTTACTATGGTAGTTAAGGGCCATTTCTATTTGGAAGCTAACATAAAAAAAATCAGTCTTTTCCATCCATTTTAGATTTTTGTTTCATCTTTGAATCACGGCCCCTGTATTTAAAATTAAAATACTTAAAGCACAATGCATTGTTGTGCACTATATAATAATCAGTGTTTAATACAGAATGATACTGGATACATATAGTGTACAGCTTTTACAGTGCCGCTCAATACACTGTACACCAAACCCAATGGGGGGGGAGGGAGGAAAGTAAAGGGAACAATTGCCCCAGGGCCCAGTGATTCAAAAGGAGCAAGGGCTCCTGGCTACCACCGCCACTGTGACAGTGTCCAGACCCCAAGCTCTTTAAATCATCCCCGGAGCCATAGGAAGTATGCTCTGGGCAGTACTGGCCAGGGGAAATTAGCCCCAGACCCACCCAAGGACACACCCCTTCTGGGAGCAGAGTCTCCCCCACCCCCACCTTGCCCAGAGACCTGGCAATTCTGTTGGCCCTCCTGCTGTATACCTTTCTGCTTAGTGCAGAACATAGTGAGGCTGAGAGAGTTTGAAAAGAGGAAGAGCCAATTTGTAACAGTAAGAGATTTCATAATAAGGATAAGTGCTGAGGATAAGTGGTGGTTTTGCGCAGGATTAAGAATGTGAAGCATAAATTGTTCTCTTAAAGGCACACAGGTGTAGAAGATGGAAGTTACTGAATTATAAGAATCACTGTGAGGAGCTTATAGTGGTCATCCGTGTCGGAGAGATGATGACAGTAAAAACTCAGAGAGCTTGAGTAAGCTAAAATAAGTGCTAAATTCTAAAATGTAAGAGCCATAGTGAATTTGATTTGGCGTAAACTATTATAATCGACATACGTCCTTATTTGAGATTATGAAGAATAAGATTTGAAGACCACCGACTAGGATGCTTTTTGCATTTTAAAGTGACAGGTCAGGAAAAAATGATGTGTTTTATAAGTAGAAAGAGAAGAATATTCTGTCACTCCTTATGCAACCTTTGAATAACAGTGGAAACAAATGGGTACGAAAACTGCATTGACAGTAAGGCTTCTCCAAAGTGTGTAGTTTCAAGTTAAAAAGAAAGGAAGATCATGTGCATCTACTCTGTTCTTGTAGGAAAAGTACTGTATTATTGTCTGCAAGTACTACCTGATGGATTATAAAAGGCTGGGAGACCACATTCAGATAGGAAGATATCTGGATTTTTTCTCTTCATCATAAATCTCTGTAAAGTGAGTTTCTACTGAAATATGCCATTTCTCACATGATTTTAATGAAGCTTCTCTAACCAATTTTTCTACCTTCAGAGTTATGAAATTGATCCTCTTTGAGCTTTGCTGGTACTTTGGTATTTTGATTCCTTTAGCAGATCTCTTTTGATATAACACCGAATCCTTTCTCTGTTGCCTTTTCCTTTAGTCTAATGGATTTCAGTGATGGGCATAAATCCTCCCTTTTCTTCTGTGCACATGGCTAAGTTGGTTATTTTTCATGGTGTTAAATAGACGGCATAGAGACCACTGACCGGTTATGTGTCCCCATGATGTTCTGTCCTGACCAAGCCTGGCCCTCTGAAGGGTGGAATGCCTGTGAGGAACAATTATCTATTGACCCCATCCTGCTATTTTTGCATGTGTGTCCAAGTGAGTCTTTTTCCTTCAACTTTCATTGGATCAAAGTTGAAGATTATGCTTGCAGATTGTTAAGCATTTGGATTAGATGATCATGCTACCTAATGATCAAGTACTAGTTGATCACTTCAGAAAGAGCAGGACCTGTTTAGTAGGAAACCGATCTCTTCATCTGACTTGAATTTGTGCACGAGGCTATATATACATTTAATTTGTCTTCTGTAGCTAATCTGCTGCCCTCTGCTATCTCTTTAAGGTCCTAACAACTTTCTCTACAGCCACCTTGGACAATACAAAGTGCTCAGATAAAACCTACCATTTTATTAATAGAAAAAAACATACAGAAATCTCGTTCTCCCAAAATTAAGTTTTCCGAACACTACAATCCAAGCATACACTGGTTTAGATATGTCGCCGGCAAGAGTAAGTCTGAGGTCCGACACTGTGTTCTCAAAGTACAAAAAACGCTACATAGGTATCTGTCAAACACAAGCAGTTTATTTCCTGACAGCTATCAGCTGTGCCCATTAACTAAAAGAACAACATGATAGGAAAAGCAGCATTTCTTACATTCTTTCTGCTAGCCAGGGAACCCGTTTCGGCTGCAGATAAAGTGGGAGACTGTCTCATCTTCTGAGGAGCCGGTACCCAAAGCCCATCGGTGAGGTCCGAATTGCTGTGCCCTGGTGCAGCTATAAATACTGTGTCTCTACCTTGTTTGTGGCAGTTTGGAAATTTCTGGGGGTTACTCATTGCTTGTTACAGTATGGCTCAGCTGTACTGCTTGTCCTTTGACTTTGTTTATATGATCAGTACATGTAGGTAAACAAGATTGTTATGTTCCCACCCTTATCTACAATTCGTTCTTGCTACAATGGCATATGTTCCTAGAGGCTTGCTTCTGACTCATCAGTAATAGGGAAAAGGGTGGGGGAATGGCAAAGGGAAGAGAATGCAGGCCTCACCACCCCTATACTTCACATGTACAGAGTTAGATAAAACAACAAAACAAATTTATAAACTACAAAATGATAGATTTTAAGTGATTACGAGTCATGAGGCATAAAAATCAGAGTGATTACAAAAAATAAAAAGTGTAACTCTTCTGCTTGTCAGTAACAAGAGCCGGGTCCAGTATCTAGGGATCACTTTTGACAATTCTACACAGAACTGGCTCTACCCCCTCCATTGACCTAGAACAATTGCATACATGCCCTACGGGCCTCAAAGAAGCAGTACTGCCCCTCTCACAAGTACAGAGTCTGAGGGTAGCAAAGAAACTTTTAATGAAAGAGGTGAGGAAATTTGGCATTAATTTGGGAAAACACTGCAAACAGGGTTTATAAACGTATGTTTATAAACGTATGTTTATAAACCATAAGCAAAAGATGCACCCCCAAGTAAATTGGGAAGTGTCCTTTTCCCCCAGGATCTTAAGTCCAGCAACCAAAAGTTCCTTTTACATGCTCTTCTCTTTTCTGCACCCCCCTCACAATTGCTGTCCTCAGTCAATGCAAAGGTAGAAGTTCAGAGGTGCAGCTGTAGAGTTCACCTCCCACCCTGGATAATGGGGGAGGACTTGGGGGTAAGAAGGCACTTTACTCATGTGGTTGTCCAAGCACTTGCTCACTGTTCCTTTCCATCAACTGCCCTTCTGGCTGATTACCATGCCTCTTGCTGGGCTTCACTCCATTTTGCTCCTCTCCACCAGCCAGCCTGCTGGCCAATCACCATGTCCCTCTGCAAGGCTCCACTCTGGTCTTCTCCAGCAACCTCTTTGCCATTTGCTTGCTGTATCTTTCAGCTGGCCACTGTGCCACCTGATGACCAATCCATTCGGATATCTTCAGGTCCCACCGCTTAACACAGCTCTCAGTGCTTTCATCTGTTAGTGGGGGCAGCCGTATTGCTAGTGCATGCTGTGGTCTTTTACATCAGAGGTCTTCTCTAAGAACAGGTCTAATGCCCAGACCTCCATATTAGTGACTTCAGCTCTACAGCGTGTAACAAAACAAATGAGTCTAAATTAGCTCTTTTACTATACATTGGAGAGAGAACTGGTAAAATAATGTCTGAGACCCTTAAACATGGCCCATTCCATCAGTTACAAATACCTGTCCCTACCTTATCTCTACTCACTGAGCTTTGGAACCCATGTCCCCACCTAGAAAGTGCCATTTATTTGAGGTGAGGCCCTCAGACAGAGGACAGCAAGCACAGTTCTGCTGCCTTTGATGAACACAACAAGGACAACAACCCTTAATTACTTTTTCCACAATAACTAGGAGACTGTGGATCCAACACCCGCCAAAAGTGATCATTAAGGCAAACAATTCCATCATGCTGAGCATCTAGGCAGGGTAGACATGTCCAAACAAATGAGATCTACTTCTGAAGTCCTCTTCTACAGCTCATCTCTAGCTATCGATGTCAGGGGAGATCTCATTCAGACCCTGTTCACAAAGATAGAATACAAACTAATACTTCTATTAACAAGCTAAGGGAATTCTCACCATATGCTTTAGCTGTCTTACTGGCTGGAATCCTTTCAGCCAGAACCCCTCTCTTACTTCAGTATTATGAAATCTCTATGTATGATATTAAAAGCACATGTTCAATCTCATATAGTCTCAATTAGATAAAATTGGTCAGGGCAAGTCTGTCTTAAATAAAGGTATGTGTGTTTACCTCCAGGTGCATATAAACAGACAGACAGCAAGAAGAAAGAACACAAAGAAAACATGCATTTTGGCATTCACAGATGAAAAGAGGCTGCATAATACCTACATGTCTCCATGCCCTCAGCTGGCAAGGATTTTATCTAGTGGTCAATGCTTTTCAAAGGGTGACTGGACTATACAAGTCAGGGTCAAGAACATCCCCCAAGTTATTGCTCTCTGCCCATCTCTCATTTCACCCAGAAAGTCAAAAGAAACAGCTGTTGAACTCTGGGAGCCGATCATGGACTGAGTCAGCAGTTTAGTGAAAACACATAGAAAAGGACTTCACCTTCAATCACGTCTACTTTATTAAGTTTAGTACTAGGAAGCATTTTACCTTGCAACCATGTCTGACTTGAATGCCTCAATCCACTTAAAACCTGTCTTGTTATAGTTAAATACACTTGTTTTATTCTTTAACCAAAACTAACCCAGTATCGTGATTAAAGTGGGCTGTGTGATAATGCCATTTAAAAGGAACAAGCTGTTGTATATTATTTCCTTATAGAGACAATAGACCTTTGTTATCTGAATTGGAGAGGTCTGGACAGCACAGAACATATATATTGGGGGAGAAAATGTGGATCTTGGATTGTGTTGGGGGTCATTCTGTATGTGGTAACCAAGACTGTTGGAAGATAGTGAGTGACTGGAGTATGCTGACTGGCTGAAGCTATACATAGATTTTCAGGATGTGGCCTGCATGCTGGAAGACTGTTTGAGTGACCCACATGGGAGCTACAGCAGCAACGCATTGTGAGGCACCTAAGTTTGTAGAGCAGGGGTCACACAACTCCTCGCTGATCTGGATTGTACCCCATAAGGTCACAGTCCCACACCAGTGAGGTACTCTCCCATGTTAAGTTAGACATGTTTGCAGGGATGTTCTAGCTGTGTTCCTCCCACAATATGAGAAAGACAAGATAGGTGAAGTAATATCTTTTATTGGACCAACTTCTGTGAAGACGAAAAGCTTGTCACTTCCACCAAGAGAAAGATACAATAAATAAAAAGCATATTACCTCACCTCCTTACTCACTCAAGTTTATATATTCAGGAAATCATTTTGACTCTTGGCAACACTGAGTAACTGGTTTGCACACAGCTCAGCAATATCACCACCACCCCATATTTCCTGTAAATGTGCTGCAGTCTCACCTCCTCAGCAGCGGATCCTAACAGTGTACTGTCACAAGGCCATGGTGAAAGCCTGCTTTTGGAGGGACAGAGGAAAGGGTGCACACAATAGAGTGAATAAGTGTGGCAGAGAAAGTGATGGGGGGACAAAGCAAGGGAGACAGGGGAAGAAGGAATCTAGATTAAGAGGGGCAATGGAGAGAAAGAAAAATGAGCAAAAGGGAAAAGAAAACTAAAGCTCAGATACTGAAATACTATGGCAGATAAATTGATACAAATCCTTAAATAGATTCAATAGACAATAAAGTCATCATGGTTCAGATTGCAAAACAGTTCTTCACTAGCTCTGCCATTGACTTGCCCATAACCTTGGGCAAATCATCTAGCCTAACATTGTACAAACTTGGATGCCTAATGTCTGGCACTTGATAAATGAAGGGAAGCTGTGCAAGAAGGGGCACTACTTGCTTCTGTTTAAGGGCACATCTAAACTAAAACCCTTTTTCGATAAAGGGAAGTAAATTAGACGTATCAAAATTGTAAATGAAGCCGGGATTTGAATTACCCATGCTTCATTTACATAATGGTGGCTACGACTTTTTTTTTTGAAAAAGCCGCTTTTTGAAAAAAAACGTGGTCAAGATGGGGATCGTTCGACAGAAATGCCCCACTTTGAAAGATCCTGTAAACCTCATTTTTTGAGGGTTACAGGATCTTTTGAAATGGGGCATTTCTGTCAAACGATCCCCGTTTTGACTGCGGCTTTTTTTCGGAAAAAAAAAGCCACAGCCGCCATTATGTAAATGAAGTGTAGGAAATTCAAATCCCAGCTACATTTACAATTTCGATAGGTCTAATTTACATCCCTTTATTGAAAAAGAGATGTAGTTTAGATGTACCCTTTGGCTAGACTGGCATGATTTTGAAGAAATACTTTTAACGGAAAAGTTTTTCTGTTAAATGTATTTCCACAAAAGAGTGTCTAGATTGGCAAGGATGCTTTTACACAAAAAGTGCTTTTGCGCAAAAGCATCTGTGCCAATCTAGATGCGCTTTTGCACAAGAAAGCTCCGATGGTCATTTTAGCCATCGGGCTTTCTTGTGCAAAAAACTTAAGGTGCCTGTCTACACTGGCCCTCTTGCACAAGTATTCTTGCACAAGAGGGCTTATCCCTGAGCGGGAGCGTGAAAGTATTTGTGCAAGAAGCACTGATTTTGTACATTACAAAGTCAGTGCTCTTGCACAAATTCAAGTGGCCAGTGTAGACAGCTGGCAAGTTTTTGCGCAAAAGCTTTTGCTTTTGCGCAAAATCTTGCCAGTCTAGATGCACCCTTTGAGAACAGGCAGAAAAGGAAGAGTGGCTATCTTTTTCACCATTTAACAAAACTGTCTCATAAACCTGTCATTGACCTCCTACCCAACCCAAGCCTTGGGCATGCCCGGTTCCTTACCTCCACCAGGACAGATTTTCCTCCTACATATTAAAAAATATCATCATCCTAAGAAGAGATGAATTTACTGTGGTGTCCAACCAGTTCTGAAGCAGTATAGCAATAGCCACTATAGTGAACTAGCCACATTCAACCGGCCAAATAGCCACATTGTTCAAGCCAACTAGCCACACTCAACTGGACAAATAGCCACACGTGGCTAATGGCTAGCATGTTGGAAACCATGGATTTAAGATGAATGATAGTTTCACATATAACGGATCTTGCTCCTATCTCAAAAGGGAAGTGGAGGAAGTTTTATTGTTTGGATAATTGATTAATAGATTGTAGCAGAACTCTAGGAAGACTTTAAGGAATACTCCTGCTCCAACAGGGGGATAAACATGATGACCCAATAGGTCTTGTTCTGCTTTCTGAAAAGTCTACATTCTGATTATGTTTGTGATGAGGTGTACCAGCCCCGCACTGTGAAGGCTGAGCCTAATCAGGCCCACCTGGCTAAAGAAGCCCTGCCCCCACAACTCTGATGGGCATGCTCAGACTGCAGGCCCAGCTATAAAAGCCTGGAGGGAGGCTCGGTCTGGGCTGACTGCCGGAGGGGAAGGACCTAAGAGGGGAGCTCCTGACCAATACCAGCCAGCTGCCCAGAGGGAAGTCAGCAGAGACTCGAGCGCTAGTTGGGACATCTCCCCTACAGTCTATGAGGGAGAATCAGTCCCAAGAGAAGTGGAGGACCCTGTGAGTAAATGGGATGCTATCCCGCTGGATCAGGTAGGAAGTGGCACAGGGAGGGGGCAGGAGCAGCCTCTCCTACCCCGGGATTCTCGGTGCTTTTCGGACAGATTAACTGCTGAGAGAATGGTGAGTCCTCCTGCTACTCAGAGGACCCTGGATCGGGACCCAGTGGAGTAGGGGTACAGTCCCTACTCGTGACTTGCCGTCATAGGTCTGTGGACCCTGCCTTAAAGGGCCAGCTATTGACTCTGTCCTGTGACTCTGGCCAGTGGGCCCGGGGACCCTGCCTTAAAGGGCCAGTTATTGACTTTGTATAGGGACTCGGGCTTGTGGGCCTCCAGGCCTGGGTTTAAAGGGCCAGCAAGCAAATCTATATTACTAGTTCTGGTAGAGCGGCTGGTCAGCCTCTAGGGCAGAGTCCAGGCTACAGCCTGAGGTGGAGCACATGGGGCGGAAGGTAGACCCGGGAGGGGGAAAGGAGAAGCTGCTACGTGACAAGGTTCTCTAATAATTTCCTATTTTACTCACTTTGAGGAGTGTAGTCAAGGGCTTGAACAAGGAGCTAGGTGCCAGAGCCTCACAGCTTCATTCCAGGAAATTTCACTGATTTTCTCTATGATTAATAGATTTGAAAGCAAAAAGGATCACTGTGATAATTTAATCTGACCACTGATGTAACACAGAGCATAGAACTTCCCCAGAAAAATTCCTAGAGCTTTGGGCACCTCTCCCAACTTTATTGCTGTCTCATTTTACACATATGTAAGAGGCATCTAGTACTTACATTAGGTGGAGCATTGTAATAAGAATGTGTTAATGTTTGAAAAGCACTTTTTTATCCTCAGATAATAAAGGACTCATAGGCGCAATGACTATTTAAAAAAATCCTTCAAACAAGGTGCTGAGTGTTGCACATGACTATAACTAACGGAGTAGTTAGTCATACATAGTATCAGCCTTCTTCAAGAGACTTATATTTTTCCTAATTAGACTTTTATAATTTTTTACCAAAGCTCTTATGATCTTTCTATCCAAACAATTAATCAAAGACCTAAGCAATCAAGGAGCAAAATATGTTCTCATGTTAGCTATTCACAGTGTGTTCCCACCATTTTAAATGATTACATATCATTCTTACATGTAATCACTTAAAATGCTGGAACTTTATATGTTCTAATCTAACCCTATAGTACAAAGTCCAAAACATTAATACTGTTTCCAAGTACAAGCAGTCCCCGGGTTACGTACAAGATAGGGACTGTAGGTTTGTTCTTAAGTTGAATCTGTATGTAAGTCGGAACTGGCATCCAGATTCAGCTGCTGCTGAAACTGACCAGCAGCTGACTACAGGAAGCCTGAGGCAGAGTTGCTCTGCCCTGGGGTTCCTGGAATCAGCCGCTGATCACTTTCAGCAGCAGCAGACTTGGGGACGCCTGGGGGTCTTAAGTTGCATCTGT